TCTTCCTGTTTGAAATCAGGCCGGATTTAAGCATTTTATTCAACCTGATTTATATAGCACCAAATCAAAATAGCCACCTCAAGCCACTTTATATTTTAAAGTATAGGTCCTGCAGTAATACAAGGAAACCCCAGCAATCATATGACGCAATTCCAGCAAGCGCTTTGGTGACAGTGGGACAGAAAACCAACCTTTTAACAGGAAGAGACCTCCAGCAGAACCAGGCTCAGGGAGGGGCAGCCATGTGGGAGTGAGGGGAGGGAAACAGGACAAAGACAGCTGTGGAAGAGAGCCAGAGATTAATCATTAGTAGTTGTTGTAATAATAATCATAATGATGATAATAACGACCAATGATTGAGAAAGCTAGAGATGATGATGATGATGATGAAGTAAATCAGTGTTTAATTGGAAAGTTTTGGAAACTTAATATGAGCTGCAATAATAAAATGTGTTTGGTGATTTATCTGCAGGCTGTTTCTCTTTTAACATGTTTAGAATTTTCTTCAGTTTACTATTTCGTACCCATTTTTCTATTCAGCACCACAAAACTGTCAGGTGGTTCAGCCGAATGTTCATTAAAATAAATAATGTCCCTTTGATTGTCTACAGTGCAGATCACATTATTTTCTGTTTGATTGTTTTTTGGAAATTGTAATAATTGTGTTCTAATGGTAAATATTTCTGTTTTTATTCTTCAATGTAGTATTTAAACACAGAAAAATACAAATATAAATGCATAAATTATTGTGGAGTGTACAAAAAAACCTATTATTTTGTGATTTTAATTAATATTTTATTTGATTTCACCACCTGACAATTATTAGCTCACGCTATGAGAGTTGTTTGTTTGTGTGTGTGTGTGTGTGTTTGTGTGTGTTTGTGTGTGTGTGTGTCCCCTCCCCCTTTGGGCTTGATGAGGCGTTTCCAGGGAAACTGGACTCACCTAACTGCATTGTGTAACTCTGGTGAAGGAGGTTGTTTTTCAGGATTCTGGGTTTTGCCCTTTAGTTCCAGTCAAAGGAACTTTTATTTCTTCAACATACAGGACGAGACCTGTATGTTGAAGACATACAGGTCGGATAATTTCATGCTGGTACCATGGAAGCTCTTCACTGTGAGTGAAGACACAACCATCGCCAAAGTAAACCACGTGAGGACCTAAATGAAATTGGTATCAACAAACTTGATCTGATGCTTAAATCTCCTTTAATCAGCAAAATATGAGAAAGAATCTAACAAAGGCAAAGTGGCTAAAGCTAAAGCTAGCCAGAGCTCAGAGCCGGCAGCCTCGGTATGTCCTGTTATTTTAACTGACATTATACACATGCTGAAAAATAATGGAAGTACCTGTAGTTTGTTTTTCTATAAATAAATTCAAATTCAAATTTTATTTGTCACATACACAGTCATACACAGTACGATATGCAGT